ATAGCTGCTATTAAAACAAAATCGTTTATCTTCTTTGCCGATAATAAATCTTTAAAAACTTTTTGAACACTTGTTGGCACTTGGATTATTACTTGGAATCGCGTTCATTGTTCTGCACGTGCACGTGCTAAAGGCTCTTGCATAAAAAGGCGACAGTGACGAAGGCGTTCGCAAGAATATATCCAGCGAAATAAGCAGCATCCGTTCTGAAAATAGCAATCGCACCCCAGTTTTTCGAGCTCCACACTATAGCGCTGCAGCAGACATGTGCATTTGTAAGGTCTGTGGAAAGAAGGCAGATAAATCGGTTGTGGAAAACTGGGTGCAGTGTGATGAATGTGAACTTTGGTTTCACTTCGCATGCGCTGGTGTAGACGAAAGTGTGCAGCATCGTGATTGGAGTTGTGCTTCCTGTGTTAAGGAAACTAACATCACAGGACCAGGGCATACAAGCACAATGCAGCAGACAAATGCATCGGCTGATTCATCATCAGAAGCGACACAATCTGAACCAGTCGCACAGCAATGTGCGCAATCAATTGACATCGTCCTTCAAGACAACTTACTACAGGTGGGCGAAAATCTCCCATCGCAATGTCGATCGAGCGAGGGCAATCGTCAACATCAACTTATGATGGCTATGCTTGAAGAGAAACGGGCTGCAGAGGAGCGCTTCATAGAGCAAAAGTATCAGCTCCTTGCTCAAATGAACACTGCCGGCACATCCGTGCCAATTACCCAGTTTACAGCCAGCTCTGCACCTTCACCTTCGCAAATAGCAGCCAGGCAAGCCATACCGAAAGAGTTGCCAATCTTTAGCGGCGACCCGGAAGAATGGCCGATGTTCATCAGTACGTTTGAGCACAGTACATCTATAGCAGGGTTTTCGAATGTGGAAAACATGTTGCGTTTACAGCGGTGTCTTAAAGGTAAGGCACGTGAATTGGTCAAGGACAAGTTGCTCCTTCCAACGATGGTTCCTGATGTTCTCAACACGCTTAAGATGTTTTTTTGGCAGGCCTGAGCACATTCTGGAAAGAATGATTACGAAGGCGAGAAAGATACCTCCTCCGAAAGAAAGGCTTGAGTCGCTCATAGAATTCGCACTAGCTGTTCGTAACATCTGTGCAACGATGCAAACCTGTAAGCTCGAGCAACACTTGAACAACCCAATGCTGGTGAAAGAGCTGGTTGATAAGTTACCTAATCAGCACAAGCTTGCTTGGGCGATGTACCCACGCGATGGTTCACCATCTATCCAGCAATTCAGCGACTGGCTATATCGTATAGCCGAAGCAGCATCGACCGTAGTATCACCTGCTGTCATCTACAAAACAAGCTCCGTGAACACCCACAGCAGCAGCAATAGTGTACAGGCAAGAAATGACATACGACGTGGCCAGAACTGCTCGCATGCAGAGAACCGCTCTCTGCTCCAGTCAAAGCAGTATACAGTGAAATGCGTCGCGTGTGGTACGACTGATCACTACGTCGCACTGTGTCCAACCTTCAGGGACTTGTCAGCAAACGAGAGGTGGCAGATGGTAAAAAAGGAGAAAGCTTGTTATCGTTGTCTGAAGTCTCACCGCAAGGGCTGTTTCTCTAAAAAGACTTGTGGCGTAAACGGCTGTTCAAAGAAGCATCACCCACTGCTGCATAGCGAGGGTAACGAAGGCACAAATAAGCTAGAGAACGATCAGGCCGTGGTAAGCACGCATCATGCTGATAACACCAGCAGTCAGTACTTTCGCATGATACCAGTGCAGCTTCATGCAGCAGGTAGGACAATTAACATTTTTGCGTTTTTGGACGAAGGGTCGTCTGTGACACTCATTGATGGGTCAACATTCAAAAAACTTGGCATAAAGGGGGTACCATCACCAATATGTCTACAATGGACGAGCGAAACTACTCGTAACGAGAGCACATCGGTGCGAGCGTCAGTCCAAATATCCGCACCAGACTCCAATAAACTGTTTTGGCTGAACAATGTGCATACCGTTCAGAATCTGGCTTTACCAAAACAGTCTATGAAAGCTAGCGAGTTACGAAGAAGCTATCCCTATTTAAGGGATATACCTTTGCCTTCGTATGATGACATCCAACCAACGTTGCTCATAGGAGCAGACAATTGGAAAATTGCAGTTCCACGCAGAATACGCGAAGGTAAGCGGCATGAGCCGATCGCTTCCAAGTGCTTGTTGGGATGGAGCATCCAAGGTACGTCGACTGCAGCAACCTACGTGACAATGCATCACTGCGAATGCAAATGGCAAGAGTTACACGACATCGTTAAAGAGAGCTTCAGCTTGGAGTCAGTGAAACCACAAAACTTACAATCAAACGATGACAAACGGGCTATTGAGATTCTCGATCGAACGTGCATTAAAGTAGATGGACGATTCGAAGTCGGACTCCTATGGCGCGACGAGGACTACAGTCTACCTGAGAGCTATAACAACGCGGTTAGTCGTCTAAACTGTTTAAAAAATAAGATTAAACGTGAACCCGAATTATACGGCAAAATCGATAACCAAATCCGCAATTTAATACAAAAGAATTATGCAGTTGAACTTTCAAAGACCGATATGGCGATCAACAACAAGCATATCTGGTATCTACCGATCTTTATAGCAAAAAATCCCAACAAGCCGAACAAGGTAAGACTTGTGTGGGATGCGGCAGCGAAGTCTCACGGTACATCGTTAAACGATCATTTACTTACCGGACCCGACTTATTACAACCTCTCATCGAAATCCTACTGAGGTTCAGAGTTGGGGAGGTAGCGATCTGTGCGGACATCGCCGAGATGTTCCACAGAATCAGCATTCGCAAAGAAGATATGCATGCGTAACGCTTCTTATGGTATGACCAAATCAGTGGGCAAACGAAGGCATATGTAATGTGTGCGATGACCTTCGGAATAAACTGCGGTCCATGTATTGCGCACTACGTCCGGAATAAAAATGCCGAACAAAATCGTCAGAAATATCCCAGTGCATATGAGGCCATTCAAAATGCGCACTATGTGGACGATTACATCGACAGCGCCGAAAACGAAGAAGCAGCATTCGCAGTAGCAGATGAAGTTCGAAGTGTTCATCGAGCCGGTGGATTTGAGATCCGAAATTGGGCATCGAATTCTCCCAATGTCCTCAGACAGCTATCAAATATTGACCCAGCAGTGCAAAGTCCCGTCCAGTTCTCAGAGACCGAAAAGGTGCTGGGTATGTATTGGGAGCCATATAATGACGTCTTTAAGTATATTCTTAGGTTTGCTCGACTGCGGCGAGACGTCTTAGCGGAGGACGTCGTCCCAACAAAGAGAGAAGTTCTCCAGGTTCTCATGTCGATTTTCGACCCATTGGGACTAGTCTCATGTTACACGATTGGCCTGAAAATTCTTCTACAACGCGTATGGCGCGTCAATATTGGCTGGGACGAGGTGCTGCCAGAGGAGCTCATCGACGGTTGGCTACTATGGAAGCGTACGTTGCCACTGGTTGAAGCAATCGAAATTCCGAGGTGCTACTCTAAACATTTGTTTTCTGGCACAAAAGTAGAATTGCACACGTTTGTTGACGCAAGCGAATATGCTTACGCTGCAGTCTGTTACCTGAGGGTCCTTCGAGGAGATCTCGTCGATTTGTCGTTGGTGGCCGCGAAAAGCAAAGTCGCTCCACTTAAACCGGTTTCTATTCCGCGCATGGAATTGCAAGCTGCTGTGATGGGCTTGCGTTTAGCTCAGAGAATTATAAACGTTCGTAGACTAAAAATACAAAACGTGACATATTGGTCAGATTCGAGAACCGTTTTGCAGTGGTTGAAGATAGATCCGCGCAATTTTCAGCAATTCGTCATGCATCGTGTCGGAGAGATCCTTGAGAACTCAGACAGCAAACAATGGCGATGGGTCCCGACAAAATTAAACGTGGCGGACGCAGCAACCAAGGTGAACAGTTCGGTGGAAATCAATGAGTGGCTGCACGGTCCCGATTTCCTGTTTATGAAAAGCTCCGACTGGCCCGTGTTCGAGTGCAAAGCTGATGACGTTGATACGACCGAGTTGCGCAAACATATATACGTGATGAGGAAAACTCCAGCCATCACCCTCAACGTGGAATACTTTTCCGATTGGCGTCGCCTGTACAGAGCGGTCGCGACATTTGTTTTATACATAGCTAAGCTAAAGGCTAGAGTACACGGCTACAGCAAGCCGAACAAGATTACACCCGAGATGATCCGCGCAGCAGAGAATATTCTCATCAAGCAGGCGCAGTTTGAAACATATTCTTCCGAGGTCAATTCGTTACACGCTGGGCAATCACTGGGTAAACAAAGCAGATTATCTGGGCTAAATGCTTACCTAGATGATCATGGAATTTTGCGCATCCAAGGAAGAGCCAGTTCTATCGACTGCCACATGGACGCCATTGTAATGCCGCGAGAGAACCATACGACGTTTCTCATCGTAAGGGCCCATCACGAAAACTTTCACCATATGGCTCACGAGACCGTCATAAACAACGTGAGAAGTTCCTACTACATACCACGTCTTCGGGTATTGTACAAAGCGGTGCGACACTCCTGTCAGAAGTGCAAAATTCACTCAGCGGTACCTACACCTCCACAGATGGCACCGATACCTGCTGCAAGACTGGCCAGCTTCGCCAAGCCGTTCACTTATACCGGCGTAGACTATTTCGGCCCGATATTTGTGAATGTTGGCAGACACAAAGAGAAGAGATGGGTCGTGCTTTTCACGTGCTTGACTCTCCGTGCAGTACATTTTGAGATAGCCTACAGCCTGGACACTAGTTCTTGCATCATGTGCCTACGTAATTTTATGGCAAGACGAGGCACTCCGAGGGAAATTTATTCCGACAATGGCACGAATTTTAAAGCAACAGAAAAGCTAGTTCGTGAAAAGCTCATCGAAATCGACTTCGACAAAATTTCCGTTAAATACGACCGTATAATATGGCGCTTTAATCCACCTAGTGCCCCACACATGGGAGGAGTGTGGGAGCGTCTCGTCCGGTCAGCGAAAACCACATTACGAAGCATCTGTCCCTCATATTCATTCAACGATGAAGGTCTACGTTGCGCATTGATGGAAGCCGAATTCATCATAAATTCACGCCCACTTACCTTTGTGAGCCTCGAATCGATTGACGACACTGCATTAACCCCCAACCATTTACTACTCGGCTCGGCGGATGGGTATAAGCCTGCTTGCAGTAACGACATGGACGTCAGGCAGCGTTGGCGTCGAGTGCAACTATTCGGAGATTCCTTTTGGCAGCGTTGGGTAAAGGAATATACGCCAGTGCTCACGAAACGAAATAAATGGTTCCAGAAATCAACACCTCTGGCTGTTGACGATATTGTAATCGTCGTAGATGAAAACCTGCCACGAAATCTGTGGCCCAAAGGTCGAGTAATCAGCACAGTGATAGCGAAGGATGGTCAAGTTAGACGAGTAACCATAAAGACAAATCTAGGAGTAATGGAGAGACCGGCGACGAAGGTAGCTAAGCTGGATGTCGGCTCAGAAGATGGTAAATAACCCGGTGGTCATTTACGAAGGGGGGGATGTTGCCGTCGAAACCAGCCCTAATGCTTCAATCATAAATGCGACCT